ATTTAGTGGCTAGATAATTCAATAGGTCTCGCTCCGGATTGCAGATTTACATCACGGCGCTGTCCTGGTGTTCTCTGATTTCACAAGTATCATATTCAGCTGCGGCTCACATCCTGGGAGAGAGGCCAAGGTCTTGTATAGACACACAGTTTTGTTTTACCAATTACCAAAAAAAATCAGGATCTGCCTAAAACAAGACAATTACTGTACACTCAAGACAAATCTCTCATAAGTGCCCTTTTCAGCCCTGATGAAAAGACCAGCGTAGTTGGTCCATGCTAGTTCAAGCTGATTCCGTCTTGTTGAGATGGATGGTCCCAAGCAAACCTTAGCAGTCTTGCTGGTTAAGCTAGTTAAAAGAATAGTCTATTCTAAAAAGTTTTTTGTACCCACCCTTGTTCCATCTCATCATTCCAAACCTGTGTGACTTTCTTCCATTAAAATTACTTTTAATGTAAAAAGTACTAACTCATGAGAAAAGTAACGAATCACTCTTTTGAGACAGATATTTTCGATAAGTTCACAAAACCAGTCTGAATAATTCGTTCACGAATTAAACTAATCTAGTTCTCAATCTCACCCTCAGGCCATCTAAGATGTATGAGTTTGTTTCTTCATCAGAACAGATTTGAAGAAATTTAGCATTACATCACTTACTCACCAGAGCTTCAATGGAGAAAGTAATGTTATGGATAGAGGACTCGAAGTTAAAAACATCTCAACGGTTCGAAGTTAAAAACATCTTAATTTTGGATTTGTTTAAAGGGGTCATATGATGCAATTTAAATTTTTCCTTTCTCTTTGGAGTGTTCTAGGGGCGTAACATTTCCGTCACACACTTGAGGTATTAGGCCAATCATAACGCACTGGATAGCTAGCCAATCACAGCACACCTTGCTTTTCAGAACGATGTTTCATTACACCAAATACACAAAATAATGTTCTTTTTAGCAACATCATATGACCCCTTTAATAGAAACACACATCTTTTCACTTCACAAGACATTAATTGATGGACTGGAGTCATGTGGATTACTTGTGAATGTTTTTATCGGCTGTCTGGACTCTCTTTCTGACGGCACCCATTCACTGCAGAGGATCTACTGATGAGCAAGTGAAGTAATGCTAAATTTCTCCAAATCTCTTGCGAACTCACCTATGCCTTGGATGGCTTGAGGATGAATAAATTTTTTTTCATTGTAATTGCTTTTAAAAGTGCAACCACAAGTAAGTCATGCAAGTTTGGAACAACATGAGTTGAGTAAATTATGTGAATTTTCAATTTTGGGGTGATTTATCCAGCAACCCAGCATCCAAAACACAACATATACTTGCTAGCCATAAGAATCTTTTCAGCATCAAGGAAACAAGGAAACAACACATCAAGAAATATTTTAATAAAACACTAGTACTTCTAAAGTCCAACCATCTGTTTTGCTTATTTAAAGAGACAGAAGAAGCAGCAGATTGGAATGAGAATCTCAATATCAGTTTTCCCTTCCTCCTTCCCTGTATCTTTTTTTTTCCTTCACTGCTGCAGTGTGCCGAGCGGTTTCTCTTCTCTGCATGACATCAAACACTATGTGGTGAGTTTCAGGCTACAGAGGGCAGATTACAGCTTAATGCCTTCAATATCTACTGCATCAGCACTATAAACACTTCACTCAGTGTCTATGTGTGTGCGTATGAGTCTAGGAATACCCCATTCTCAATTCATCTTGCTATGGATTGGAGGATAAGTGCACAAATCTATTGTGAAAGCATGTTGTGTGACACCAACAAACATTTAAAATATATGCATGCAAATCAATACGCACTTATAACAAATCAAAACAAAATGCAATGCATTCTGTATGCTACACACACGTACAGCATGAATAAAAAAGAAAGGCATTCGGTACTGTGCCCTATAGCAAATGTTCTCAACTTAAATATTGAAATATTCATGCACAAAGAGGTTTTGCAGCCTATGATGTTACCACGGGCCATTTTGCTTTTGAGCAACTGTCATTTGCCTCCAGCAGATGCACTAGTGGCCATCATCCAGTGGGCCGCCACGGCTCAGGGACCTCATTAGTGCTTTCATGCTCACCTGTGTCCATGACTTAAACATGACTAATGACAACTGCTTTATGACCACTGCCTGGTCTACAGTCACAGCTAGGAGGTGCTACACATCGTCATCATCATGGTCAATGTGGTTTGAGATGCTACAAGTTGCAGACTGTGTTCTATTGTAATTTTATTACTGAGTTCAGAAGGGGAGGTTGGGTTAGTTAGCAAATAAATAAACAAACAAACAAATAAATAAATAAATATTTGTTTTATATGATATTTAAACTTAAATAATACTAATAATAAGGCTACATGTTACACCCTGTGTTCTATTATGCATGATTAGACAAGCAAAAACTAGTTCAATTTTTCATTCATTATTCAAACTGAGTTCAGAAGGAGAAATTGGTTAGTTGGTATGGCAAATAAATAAATAAATAAATAATTTATAAATAGAGAAAATCTATTTATTAAATTATATAGTTTATATTTTTTACATATATGCACATATAAATATATTTTTTATTATTAATATTAATATTTACATTATTAATATTATTCATTTATAATAAATCAATAAATCTTAGCCCACATTTCATGCAGGCTAGACTCACATACCACATGAGCATCATGACTCAATATGTCGCTTGCACTGTGCAGTGCCATATCTCTAACCCCAGCTGCTTTTTAATTACATAATCCATATATTAAGGCTAGACAATTTAGTGACTGACCTCTAATCTGAAAAGGTATGTTTGCAGGTACTATTCCAGTAACGCGATATATGATTGGAACATATTAGACAATTATATGCTCCCCAACTGTTTTCTATTGCATCAAAACATTTGAAAGATTTTACAAGATGTCAGCCTTTACATTGGGCGTAACTCTATCCACTACACAAGGACGGTGAGAAAAATGAAAATAAGAAGTACATCGAGACAAAGGTGAGTTGAACTTGGCTTGCTTTCCTAAAATGATTCCTGATATGAGCCTGATAAGAACTGACAGGAGCCATCTTGACCTGATCTGTCACTGAATCACTCTTGAAATGAGGTCAGGTAGAGATTACCATTGTGTATTGTGGCAACCTCAGGCTCTGGTGTGGGTCGCTCAGCTTGTTCGGGCCTTTAGCAGGGTGTGCCACAGTTCGCCGAGGATCCCCTCTCCGAATCACCAGGAGAATATCATTACTCACTTATGAGTAAAACAGAACGCATGGAGACTGATAGAAGACAGCTGCTGCTAGATGAGCTTTGCAATGTTCTACTAGATAAAACACGATAGACATAAACACACACTCACAAACATGACCAAAGGCCAAAACATTTCTCTCACAGGGTTGGTGTCAAGTTCATCTCAGATGAGTCAGAGCGAAAGATCCAGCTGAATGTTCAAATCCAGCCTTAGAAATTCAAACAAAGCTTTTAAGACTTTTCCTATCAAAAATTAAAGCCACATCCCAAATGAAATTCATCCATCTAAGATTAATGCTGATCATCGACTAGCAGCAGGAGAGAAAAGAGTGGAAAAAGAGCGAGAAGACTCGGAAAAACGGGTGGATCCATTAATGTCAAAGAAACCGCTAAAGAAGATCTCGAGTTTGTGTCCAGATTTCCTGTCCAGGCAGCTGACACAGTCATTTAACTTTAATATTCACAAAAACCAAAATCAGATTCTCGCAGTTTTATGCATGGGAGGACAAGTATGTCAGCTCTTGAGTGGAGAACCAGGGAAACATCTCTGCAGTCTAAAAAAAACTGCAGTATAGTTGCAGAACATTTCCTAGGGGAAACTCTTGACTCTGAAACAATTACTTTCATTTAAATCTCATTGTCTCCATATGGATGAGAAGTTAGGGATAGGGTTTTGATCGCCATCACTTAGACACGTTACACTGTGCTATCAAAACACAGCGGCGTTAACATGTCTGATTGAAGGGATCGCAACAATGCATCAATCTGATTGAATGCATCTGGACATGTTGTGCGTGTTTATGAGGATAATAACTCCATCACATTAACGTAAAGCCACTAACGTTTGATTTTCACCTCTATTAATCTTCTAAATGGAGGACACTTTCTGATCATTAGGGAATACCAATCGGGATCAGCTCGTGCGTCATACACAAAGGGTTGATGGGTAAAAATACATTCAGGCTGCAGTGCTGAGCATAGTAGAGCAATCTAGGGTCATAGAAAAATTCAATGAAACAAAGAGAAATCAAGGTCTTCTGTGCGTGTGAAATCACTAGAGCTCTACCACACAGCACACCCACTGAGGTTTCATCTTTTTTCATCTTTTCAACTCAAAAATCAAAAGTGAAAACTCTACCTTCATGGAGCAATTGTGGATAAGATGATACTCCACCTTGACTCACACACACACACGCACACACACACGCACGCACACCAGCAGTGACTGCAGAAAGCTCATAATCACCAGTAAATCTCTGTAACTATGCCACACACTCAAACAAAATGACAGCAAGAAGCGGTCTGGAAAACTGCTATGGAATCCTGGGTCAAAGACCTGTGGGAGAGTCACATATATGTGCAGGAGAGGGGTCTGTGACAGACAGTGAGATGAACGAACAGGTTTCATGCATAAGAGGCTCTTCAGAGAGAAAAAAACATGATAATTCATAATAGTTTTCATAGAATTTGACAACAGTCGACTATAGGCATTTATTTTAAACTTCACTTCTAACTGTTAATAAGCTCATTTATGATCATATATTACATTATGATCTGTATTATAGCACTTTGAATTACTGTAACATTGTGTCGTGTATGAAACTTGTCTTGCCTGCTGATAACATAAGATGATAATGCATTTGAATCGCACAGTAACTTCTTGCATTAAAGTTTGTCTCTGTTGGCTATTCAATGTCTTTATCACAACTGTCATTCGCGCTGAAATGAAGGGTTGAACGGTTCACCTACCGAATATTTCTGTTTGCGGGACTCCGTTCAGACTGAACCCCTTGCTGCTGTAGAACTGCCTGAGGTCCGAGCATGTCTTGGGTTTACTGTCCCCGAACACCAGCCCGGTAAGAGCGCACAGAAGCACCAGCACGACAAAACTCATCCTGGACAGAAGAAAGAAGCGTGATGTGTGAATCAGATCCAAGGGCGAAGAAAGATGATACTCCACCTTGACTCACACACACACACGCACACACACACGCACGCACACCAGCAGTGACTGCAGAAAGCTCATCATCACCAGTAAATCTCTGTAACTATGCCACACACTCAAACAAAATGACAGCAAGAAGCGGTCTGGAAAACTGCTATGGAATCCTGGGTCAAAGACCTGTGGGAGAGTCACATATATGTGCAGGAGAGGGGTCTGTGACAGACAGTGAGATGAACGAACAGGTTTCATGCATAAGAGGCTCTTCAGAGAGAAAAAAGGTATAAAAATTTGCAGATTTTTAGGCAAGAGTCCTTTATAGTTAGTTCAGTTAAATAAATTAAAATAAAAATCTAAAATAAAATAATAAAATTGTGTTTCCATACAATATAAAAATTATTATTATTATTATTATGAGAGTCCTTTATAATTATTTCAGTTAAATAATTATATTTATCTCAGTCACAGCCTCACTGACATTTTCACAAGTATATACACAAATACAAGGACTTACAATGAACGGTTCACCTACCGAATATTTCTGTTTGCGGGACTCCGTTCAGACTGAACCCCTTGCTGCTGTAGAACTGCCTGAGGTCCGAGCATGTCTTGGGTTTACTGTCCCCGAACACCAGCCCGGTAAGAGCGCACAGAAGCACCAGCACGACAAAACTCATCCTGGACAGAAGAAAGAAGCGTGATGTGTGAATCAGATCCAAGGGCGAAGAGCAGCGAATAAACGCGTCCACAGCGAAGCCTCCCGTTTCCAAAAGCGCATCGGGTCGCTCCCACGCCCAGTGTCTTATTCAGTGGCAACCACTTGAATTAACAAGGAGAGCGCGATCCTGTGTGAGAGATGACGGAGCGGAGAGGGAGGAATGACATGAACTCACGGGAGCGCACAGTCCGGAGACGCGTCTGTGCGCTCGCGTTCGGTCTAATGCGAGGCGGAGCGGAGCGGAGCGGGGCGGGCGGGCGCGCGAGCGAGCGAAGGCACCATCTGCAGGGCATCGGGTTCGTCTGCCGCTGCCGCCGCGTTACATCAAATCAGCCCGCTGGCCAATGAAGACGGGATTCCATTTCCCCACAGGCTCTCCTCTATGACAGGATAAGGATCTCTGAGATTCCTTATGTAATTTAGTGAAACTCTGACTGACTTTGACATGTCTTTGTACTGGATTTGTGTCTAGTCCTAGGGGGATACAGTAAGAACTTTATAGGATTCCGTTTGGAATCAAACTTTGGAACCAATCCTAAAATTTTCTTATATGATTCCAACATGACATAAAACTAGAGCTATGTTGGAATGGAATACCAGCACTATTTAAAAAAAATGTAAAACCAAGGAGTGCACCCTGGCCCCGCTTACACACATAGGCCTATTAACATCCATTTGAAACAGAATGACACTAAAAACAGGTGTAAACAGGGTTTGATGTGTTTTGAGATTCATCCACTTCAACATCATTCAGAAACGGACAAAAGAACGTGACCTCACGGCCAGGGCCGCATTAACCATTGGGCTAGGCGGGGCTGAAGCCCCGGGGCCCGAGCAAGGAGGGGGCCCGTGATTGGCTGAAAATCCTATTTAAAGCTATATATATATATATATATATATATATATATCTTATTTGTAATAGGGGGCCCTGGAGTCAGTCTTAGCCCCGGGGCCCAGTAAGGTCTTAATGCGGCCCTGCTCACGGCATCTGTAGAATAAATGTTAATCTGGCCTGTATGCAACTTTATGTAGTTATGTGTAGTCTATTTTTGCGACTTTGGAGCCTCCTACAGTTAAGTGAGTGGAATTCTTTGTAGTACATGTACCACTGTCCTAATTACAGTGGATCGCTGTACACGTGCATTTGTTGCTGCCGAAAAGCAATCTGCCCTTTTCGCGGAATTTCGTACCCGCTCACCAAACATACAAGCTCCTAGAACAGACGTTTGACGGGAGAGTGTGGGAAAGATTATTAGAAGTCAGTGTGCCATCAGAATAATTTTTAAACTAAATAAAAAAAAACTGGACATGATAGGTAAGGTCAAGTACTCTGAATTGTGGAACACAGTGATTTTTTTTTTTAACTCTTCTTTTCTGTTGCCCACAAAAATGCCTCTGAATATGAGAGCTGGAAGATTATACTGAATTATTTATGAGGGAAATATCAGGTAAGGTCCCAGCCTCTCTACTTCAAGTTACATGTAATGCTCTGCCATATTTATTACAGTCCCAGTCAGACTGTCAAGCCCTCTGCGGACAGGCCAGATCTTGACATGCTTCAAAGATGCAGTAAATTTTTTAACAGGCTGCAGCTCGCCTGCGACAATACACACATCCGTAGTTACTCCTTGACAGCCACAGCATTTTCTGAGCCATGTCTGCGGCCTGCAGTTTGACAAATATGACAGGAAACAATCCTCACACTGAGAGAAAATACCAGCCCCTGAGCCACAAACAAGAGTTGGCGGTATATTACAAAGATAATCCAGGAAATGTACTGCTGAAAAGAGAATAAAGGCGAGTGAATATGAACAGGTTAGTGATAAACAGTGGCACACTTACATGGGTAAGAATAAATACAGCCATTATACTTACATAACAACTGAAGGGAGCTGCCAGGGATATTTGTGTGAGTGAATAGCGGGGTGTGGCTGGATAAAACTGTTTCAGAGAGGCACACAGTTAGTTATATGCTTTGCCCTTTCTGTCTTCTAGCAGTTAAAATAATGATAATGTTGTTTCTGACTTTATTTACAATGCACACAAATCCCATTTGGTTTTCAAATCATTTGGATTTACGGTACGCACCTTCATTTTGCAAGTGATACAATCAAATCCATTTGCTCCTACAGCAAACTGGAAATTGTGTTTTTTTTAATTAAGTTTCAAATATATATATATATATATATATATATATAAAATTTAATAAAAAATTTAATTGAACAAATTGGGTTTCTAAATATTTTAGTTAGTTTGTTAGTAAGTTATTTTTCAGACTACAAAATCTAAACATTTATGGCAAAAATCCTGAATAAAGTCAATGCAAATCATACTCTCTTAAAATTGTTATTCAGGAACAAATTAGCCTTTTGAACTGATTTGAGGTTTTCTTGAAAATTTCTTTGAAGATTCTGGACTTTAAATCAGAATTTTAAATTAGCAAAATTACAGTACACTGTTTTGATGATACACCTGTACATACAATAAAAAACATTATATGATGAAGTATTTTACTTCATATAGACTTAAAATTTTGAACAAATTCATCATAAATGGCATGATTGCATAAAAGTGTAAAACGTAAGTTAAATGCACGTTAAATACAACAACAACAAAAAACACTTATCACATATTGATAAGCAGTGAAATTTAGATTTCATTTGCTACAAAAACAAAGAAAATGTAAAATTATCTTCTAGGAACATATGTGACCCCAATGAGTCACACAGTGCTCAAATGATCCAGACTTAAGATTCAACTCTGAACTCACAGTCAGCTGAGATCTGAATATTGGAGCTTCATAATAAGCATAACAAATGTTGCTTCTCAAATTCAGGCTCATTTCACTCATTACATAATTTCAAAGCAAACAAAACAAATGCCTTGATGCACTTTTATATGGCAGCCTGTGCATGAACACAGGAGTATTCTGTTGAGTCTGAGAGAGAGAGGGCAAGATGCCGTTTCAGAGAATGAGGGGACCAAATTCATCTCATCTACACAAGAATAGCAGCAGCGGTGGCATATCCTCTTCCACAGAGTCAGAACTCAACTAAGCCCAGCTGAATTTCATGGTGCAGTTATTACCAAAGGTCCATCAGATTTGCTGGTCTTGACCCATACGCTGGTCTCACGCTGAATAAGGTTACCTAGTGGCATTTATGTTTGTTCAGCTTGGTCTCAGTGAGTCAGGTCTTCTGGGAGCCGAAAAGCCACTGAATACAGTGGTTTGGGACCTGTATTCAGGTCCGTCTGGTCATGTGATCAAAGTCTTTTGGAGAGAGCTGACTCATCCATGCCCACTCATCTGGCCAGTCATCATAACATGACACGTCTGTGATGTCACAAAAAACACCCTGACAAAAAAACAGAGTCTCTAAATATGAATCATCTACAGCTATCTTTAATTAGACTCTTCTGATTGAATCCTGAGATATTCATAGAGAGATGACACATTAAAAAAATTAATTAATTAAAAAACATCTGAAAGATGTTATGCCATTTCACAGTTGACAGGTTTTTTTACTAATCAAGTATAAAATGAACAGTGAATTGTATGTTTCGAATTAGAGAAAAAATTATTATAAATTAAAAAATATTATAAATTAACTCAGAATTTATCATTTATCAATTAAAATAACTTTTTTTTTAAAGAATCGCTGCACTACTTGAAAATATTTGTTTTACACTTATTTAAAGAGTTAATGTTTCCAAATATAAAAAAGAGGTATCCAAAAGAAGATGAATTGAAAAAAAATATATTTAAAATGTAAAATACAAAGTGTAAATATAAATTAGTGTTGGATGTAAATATAAAGATTTTAGCAAAAAAAAAAGGGGGAAAGTTCATTAAGACAAACTTAAAAACATTAGCGTGACAGCTTTGTCTTATGTTAGAAAAAAGTTTAAAAAAATAAAATTAAAATAAAAAGTCTTGAAGTCTGGAAAGTTTTATAGGTAGTATGGATAAGAGACTACAACGGACGGACGGACGGACGGACGGACAGACAGACAGATAGACAGATAGATAGATAGATAGATAGATAGATCAATGCAATTGAAGTACACTAATATCCAAACATTGAAAAAAATTAATATATTAATACTATATTATGAATTTATATCAATTTAGTCTGTTAAAACTTCTCCCATCTGCTGATCGTTCTGGCTTCATTATCAATTTGACGCTCAAAAGCAAACCACTTTTACTGCATAAATATTTATTATATAATAAATTCTATAATAATATTTGAACTTCCCTTTGAGAAGAGTGACG